GTCTAGGAACGCATCCTAAGCCCCAGACAAGGTCTTACTGTGCCAAAGTGAAAAATTTTGGTATTTGGATGGTCTGAGAAGCATTCAGAATCTTGAATCTACAATTATTTGAACTTTTTACAGAATCGCATATGTACAATGATTTTTGTCTGTCATTGCACACATCATTAGGCAGCATCTATATGTTGTTCCTCAAATTTGATGACTGAAAATTCGTGCAACGCATCATCTCTGAACTTGCAAAATTTTATCATAATACGTTACAACTTATGATGAAATTTGGAATTGTTTTGTTTACAGAACAGTGTCAAAGTGGAGATCCTGTAGAAACACATCATAATTCATGATAGCATAGATGAACATTCAACAAGTTCAGCTGGAAATAAATTATGAAAAACCCGAAATGTTTCTCAAAAAAAGGATGATTTTTTTGCATCAGTAAAGTCTTTAAACAAAAAATTCTTTAATTATTTATTTAGCGTATGGCTACACATCTAGTTAGTAAAAAGAACAAAAAGTAAAAATGGACACAAATCATAAATGTAAATCTAAGTCAGAAACATAGTTTAGAGCACATTCAGTCACAATCAGGAAGTCACTCTGCTGTCCCAGATAGAATCTTATTGGACAATCTTCCAAAATATGACGTATAGTCTGTCTTTCAGCACTAAAATCACACTGTGGGAATGCAACTTTTCCCCACCTAAAAAGACTGTCTCTACATATTCCATGTTTTGTCTGAATTCTATTTAACACACTCCAAAAATTTCTGAATAATTCAAAACCAGGTGGTCGCTTTGTGATCAATTCCGTAAGATCACTCAGTACACATCATTTACTGTATTGACTTAAAAGTTTAATACCAATAACTTGCTTCTAATGAACAGGTATTCTAGTAAAAAGGTTTTATGGAAGATATTAGTTGCCATTAACAATTCACACTCGACAAGCAAAAATACCAAGCAAGTCTGTAAATTTCAGTTTCCATTATTTTTTTGCACTGTATTTTCTGATCAAACTCATGACACATACAAAAATAGTGGTCTATTAGTTTCATAGGGTAAATGCATTACAAATTACTACAAGTATTTCACCCAGTGACTAAACTATATTTGCTTGCATTTTTTATACAACATAATAAATCGACAATTATAAATATTCCTATAATACGTTATCCGAGTATTTGCAATAAATATGAAAGCAGACATCAAATGCAATTGTTCCAGCACATTAGTTGCTTTTTGGCATGTTTATCAATCAATTTTAGCAAAGTATAGCCGTGCATTGAATCATTTTCAGACAGCATGAAGAGTGTGCATAAAGAGAATGGAACAGAATACTGGCATGCACGAGTACACACTGTACAGCAATGACTGAAAAGGTCGTGTAATACTATTTACACTTCATGAAAAAATTAATATAGTAAACATATTGTTATTCTTTAGAAAATTAGATTTAACTTACATTATAAAATTTGCTGACATCATTTGCGAGAAGATTTACCATCTGTCCTACATTCGACTTCAGTAGAGACGAAGGACTTAACCTAATAGCCTGCATAAAAAATTTTATATAAAATAAACAAATAATGAAAAACAACTAATCAAACTCAGCTTTTTACACTTAATAAACTATCAAAATCACATTATATTGCTGACAAACGTTTTATTAAACAAATACAAACGTCCTCTGCCTAATGCAATAGGCCATTAAGGTGTGACTATATAAGAACTTTCCATGAAAACATGAAGACACGTCATTTCAATAGAAAACTTTGTTCCGAAAGGTGTTACATAGATTACCGGCACGACTTTATTGTAGCAGGAAAGTATGATGTACAGGGACAAGCCACTATTAACTTGAGGTAGAGAGCATATATTTTAAATTAAATAAATTAGAACTATGATTAAAAATCGCAGCACGGTATTGTGACCATGTCACAATAAATAGTGTGATTTTCTCATTTTATATTTGAGAGTTTGAATATTCGTTAAAATGTTCCATTTCGAAAAGACGTTCGAGTACCAAAATGAAAATATTAATGCTTTCATTAGTGTAATTAGTATAATTAAATATATGCGGTTGATAGAGGTTTAATCATAGATGCTGTATGAAGAATATAATGGTTATATTACAGGGCATTGATATATGTGAAAGTATTTTGTTTGAAATGCTTTGTGAATCACACAGTAGTTGAGGAATAAAATGTATTGTGGGTCGAAAAGTTTATATTTATGGTTAAAATGTTGATGATATTAAATAACATTGAGATGGAACATTGGGTGAGCCTAAAACTAATGACGACTAATACAGATTATCACAATCTAAGCCATTTAAATTTGTGGCAATTACTGTTAGCTATTAGCATCCCACTCACTGCTTTAACCTAACATAGATAATGAAATATTGAATATTTCAGATTATTCTCAAAATTTTTATTAAAAAATCAACTTTTGAAAAAAGACAGCTTATATTCAGCAGTAATTTTCAAAAATTGCAATATATTTCTACCATCCGTCTGTCATATTCAGACACATACATATCCAGACAAACCTATACATTTCTATCATCCGTCCATATGCACGACTGTCCTTAGTTAATCTCGAGAACATGAGCGTTAGACAGATGGATGTATACACCAGGTATAGAAAGTGTAGTTGCAATATGCCCAGATAAACTATATAAGAACTTTTTATTTTAACCGGAAGTCACGTTGTTTTAATTCAAATTGTTTCTCCTGAGCAGAGTTAGAAAGATCACCGGTATGACTCTATTGTTAACAGTAAACATATGATGTACAGGGGAAAGACACTACTAAAATTCAGAGCATTCTGACAAAAATTGTATCGCAATGTCATAAAAAATAATTGCTAGTTTGATACTCACCTTTTTATAAATAACAGTGCAAAAAGCTACCTTTAATTTCATTCCGTATAATTCTGATAGAAAGCCAACAGTATTACTTGTAAACAAGTGAATCAAAACTATGCAAAAGAATCCTGCAACTATTACATATGTATTGTGTTGATTCCATTGCAGTGTGTTGTCAAAGTAATGTACTATTAATCCCAATAAGTATACTTGGCCTGCAGTTACGGCTGTTTCCTGAAAATGTATGTAAATGTCATTATTTTAATATGTGCTTTAGGTATATTAATTAAATAAATTTTCACAGTACCTGGATAAGTAAAAGGAACACTATTATTAAGTATTGCCATCCAACAAATCGTAATAAAGCTTTCAGTATGCTTGGTTTTCTCTTCTGTAGTTCTTTGTTCCACTCTCTGAAAAAAAGCAAAATTAACCTAAACAATATGCAGTTCTGTATGTAATATGTATTAATTCATGTGTACTTAAACCATTTATTAATTTCTGAATAAAAAACTGAATACAGTAAGGTCTCGTTTTATATTCACTTTTCTTGCAAAGATTAACATCACACAGAAGAAAATTGTGACAGTTATGTGTGAATGGTGTCTGGTGGAAATTGTTGCCTGATGCAGTTTTTGACATTCCTGTATCTGAACCTGATAACAGATGATGTGTAACCAAGAATGTTGACATTAATAATGTGAATTTCTTATTAGAATATCATGGAAAGCAACAGTTAATAGTTTTAGTAACAGTTAATTAATACACATTGGAACTCTGCATAGTATTAGGTTTTTCTCCATTATCGATCATTTGGCTGATTATGTTTGCAATTATTTACATTTTTGAGAAAGTTTACATTTGATTGTCTGCCAATAAAACAGTGGAATAAATACCTTTATAAATTTGGCTTACTTTACTTTTGCAAAAAAAGAAAGCACATCAGACCCGTACAATTTATTTAAATAAAAACTTGACTATATTTTGTGATTTAATTCCAAATCTGAAATACAAATAAAGCATTTACAATAGCAAATAATCATATTTATTGTACAGTTCAATAAATTATTTTATTTCCATACACAATAATCATGTTTAGTTAAATTTCAAATAATGTAATCATTAATGTGTTTGAAAGTTAACAGAAAAAAATAACTCATTTATTTCTTATTGCATAATTTAGAAAAGTTTTTAATTTAATCACACTTTTTATTACAAATTCATAAACTTACTTCTGAAGTAGATCTCCAAGATACTCCGAAGTGTGATATTTTGAAGTCTCGTACAAATCTTCTTCTTTTAAAAATCGCTTCGTTCCTTTGATTATTATTGGGAAAAGCCAACTGAAAAATAATTTATCTACTTATTGTTGTTGTTTACGATAATTTTCTTGTACTAATAGTTGTAAAATTGCCATTATATCTACGTAACAATATAATGAACAATATTAATAGATACAAATTATTTATGACAACTATTGTGGTTTTTCATAACCAATTTGTCAAAATCATTTTAAACACAACAGCATAGTGTGTATTGCATCCTTACTAATTAATATCATTACAAATTAATCTGAAAGAGGTTTTCTTAATGCCCTGTGGGCACTAAGAGGACCTCCTTTAGAAAACCCATTATGTGTTCTGCCAGGCCCACAACGGGGAGGCGGCATGGTGAAGAATCGGGCCCATCATATCCAGACAGACCACCCGCCGAAAAATTCTTGGGCATTTTTCGACCTGTCTGTATTTTATTCTGGGTGCATAGAGCGGTAGGCTGCCACATTCACCGCTCAGCTAACCGGCCGACCTTTAAGCAGTATCAATGAAAGAAGTTTGGAATGACGGGTTTATAAATTATTAAGAGGAGAGGCAAGATGCCCGGGTTTTGGTAGTTAAGTATGTCCTCGTAAATATCGCTTTTATAGAAAAAGTATTAAATTTCGTTTGGCATTTGGTTACGGCAACGCGATACGTAGAAGAATGCATTCCAGAAAGACTTTTATGTAATACTGGCCACAATTTAAGTGTTACTAACGCGAAGAAAATCCAGAATACTCTACGTGGCCAGTCTGTTGGCCATGCGCGAACTCGCGATTGACTGTGATAGATGGTTTTATCCATTCGGTTACTGGAGAGTACTGTACTTATTGAGCTGCAAATTGAAAAAAATTGTACACCTATAAATTCTCATTGCTGTCTATTCCTCTCTGTCCTTCCTTAATCTCAAGAATGGAGTTAGATGAAAGTCAAGACCATAAATGGAAATCATGAAAAAAGGACCAGATTAACTATATACTAACTTCTGATTTGTACCAAAAGCCACGTTATTTCAATTGTTCACCGAAATTTAAGATAAGAAAAGTTGATTACTACTGCAGGAGATCGTCAATAGACTCTGCTTCTTCTCCTATTGCTAATGTCAATAAATCGATAATTGTTATAACTTGTCAACAAAACTCACTTCCAGTTTAGAAGTGACCAAAATTATATTTTATTGTTGCAACACAGACTTGTATTTTAAACAATCTCCATATTTTTAGAAATTGCGAGCCCTATTTCACTACACACTTATATGCTGTAACAATATTTCACTAAAGAAACAGCTAAATCCCTATACTCAAATATAAATAATACTCCATGTGTCATATGTTGTATAGAGGAAGAATAAATACATGCAAAACTAGTAAAAACACAATAAGAATAAGCAATTATTTATTCTGAGTAGTAGTGGTTTGACACATGCTGATCACAAAATTAATTTTTTAATTACAAATATGAGACATATTGATGAATTCTCTGATCACAAAACTTAATTAAATTAATTTTATTAATCGATGAACAAAACTAGTAAAAACACAATAAGAATAAGCAATTATTTATTCTGAGTTGTAGTGGTTTGACACATGCTGATCACAAAATTAATTTTTTAATTACAAATTTAAATTAAATTTATTTTATTTTAACAATAAGCCAGAGTTTCTATATTAATTATTAAATGTTTTAAAACCTGAAAAAATTAAAACACGACAATTGTATGAAATAATATAACCCAAATAGAAAATTATTTTTGAAATTTTTTATTTTTACATTAATAGATTAAATTAGTTTATTATATTTAAGCTTTTCCAGTTTTCTCATTCACTTTATCTAAAACATGACACATTTCTGCTAGTAAGTGGAGTAATAAGTTCTGGTAATTGTTTACTATATATTTCCGGTCTATTTTTTTATATTTTAAAATGTAACACCATGAAAGTTCATTTTGGAAGTCATCAATAAATTGCTGATCAAGTATTTGGTAACAAGAAACATAATTGCAGTTTAGATAATCTTTTAATACGTGTAAAGTCATAGCTTTTAATCGTTGATATTTAAAATTTTATTTAACATCAAACTTATGTATATGTATCGCCTAATAAAATTATCTGAAAGAATTTGAAATTCGGCGACTTTATTCCAATCAAGATATTGTGAAATGATGGTTAAGAATGATTCGTCTAACACGTGATGCTCGCAAATTAAATCCCATTTTGCATATTTAATATGTTTTTCAATAAATGAAGAAGTGAATATATAGTTTTTTAATAGGATTTCCCAATTTAACTTATCAGCAAATTCAGAAATTAATATGAAAGATAAATCATTTCGTTGACTAATGATATCCCAGTCAGTATAATTTCTTAAATGACGAATATTATTTTTTTCTAATGGTGAAAATGAAAAATTCTCCCAATCAATTAGCAGTTGACTATTGTCTATAAAGAAACAAAATTGTTTTTTTGTTAGGAAATATTTATTTAATTAGTTACATAATAGGATACATTATTCATATTAATAACATTTTATCATATGGATATGGATAAACATTATTTAAATTGAATACATATATTAACAGATACAAAATTATTTATTACATTTCATACAATCACATCTTGTATAAAATTTGTTGTTGTATCGGTAATGTTATTTTATCATTTATTACAAAAAATTTACATTTATGTGTTTTATTGTTAGACAGTTTTAATGCTGCTTTATTACATGCTTGTTTTAAAGATGGATAACTTTTATTACAAACACTATGTTTGTTTGCATAAGTATGTTTTTGTTTGCATACTATTAAAAATTCATATTGTGAAGATGATAATGATATCCAAAAATCTACAAGAATCAAAAGTAGTGGCTGTAAAGACTGAACGATAGCACATTTATTCCATTCTCTAAAATAAATTTTTTATCATAAAATGGAGAAAGTGAAATTTTGCTTTGCAGGTATGTTGTTACTACATGAGTTTTGCTTCTAACTTAATCCCATATTGCTGTCTTAATAGATCTTTGTTGAAAAAACTTCTTTATATTTATCGTGATTAAATGTTTCTATAACAGATTTTTTAATACCTTTAGCAGTTTTTTTTTATTTTGTTTATCGAAAATATAAGAATACATCTTTGGTTTTAAAGAACAAAACTCAATTATCAGTTTCAACGGTGACTCATCTTTAAAACATCCTAATTTATTATTATTCATTTCATTATATAATTTATCAGTTTTAGGATAATTACTAAAATGAAAAATATTTGGAAATGATTTAAAATCCTCATAAGTATCATTTGTATAAATTTCAAGTGTTAATGAATCTCTGTCAGTATATCATAAATGTATGTTTTCACCATATCTTTTTTTAAATATTTTATAAAATGTTTCATACATATGTAATTTGCTTAATTCTAATACACAAAAACCTATATAAATAGGTTTTTTCTAAACATAAATTAGGTTTCTTCATTTTAAAAATTGCAAGAATATCATTTATAATTTGAAATTGTTCTACAGACGGTTTAAATAGATATTGGCGATATTGATTTAGTGTTGTAGTTCTTTTAAGTTAATACGCTTTATTATATTTTGACATGGTTTTTTGAAAAAACTATTATTTATTAATTTAAAAAATGATTTGTCAAAATCGTTNGCGCCATCTGTCGGACATAAAAGCCTTAACCTAGATTATATATTTTAATTTAATTTATATGAATGTTTAACGGAATAATATACAGCCTATGTCCACCCTGAAGTTCCATTCTAAATATTCTAAATATTGGTGAAAGAATTTTTTAAATAGGTTGAGTAGTTTCGGAGATTACCTGCTGTATACAAACTTACATACATACAAACATTACCTCTATATAATATTAGTATAGACTAAGGGGAAAGGCAAGGTGCCAGGGTTTCCTGGTAGTTAAGTATGTCCTCGTAAATATCGCTTTTATAGAAAAAGTATTAAATTTCGTTCAGCATTTGGTTATGGCAACGCGATACGTAGAAGAATGCATTCCAGAAAGACTTTTATGTAATACTGGCCACAATTTAAGTGTTTCTAACGCGGGACAATTCAGAATACTCTTCGTGGCCAGTCTGTTGGCCATGCCGAAACCCGCGACCGACTGTGTTAGGCCGTTTTATCCATTCGGTTACTGGAGAGTACTATACTTATTGGGCTGGAATTTGAAAAAAAATTGTGTACCTATAAATTCCCATTGCTGTCTATTCGTCTCTGTCCTTCCTTAATCTCGAGAATGGAGTTAGATGAAAGTCAAGACCATAAATGGAAATCATGAAAAAAAGGACCAGATTAACTATATACAAACTTCTGATTTGTACCAAAAGTCACGTTATTTCAATGGTTCATCGAAACTTAAGATAGGAAAAGTTGATTACTACTGCAGGAGATCGTCAATAGACTCTGCCTCTCCTCCTATTGCTAATGTGAATAAATCGATAATTGTTATAACTTGTCAACAAAAACTCACTTCTAGTTTAGTAGTGACTGAAATTATATTTTATTGTTGCAACACAAACTTGTATTTTAAACAATTTCCATGTTTTTAGAAATTGCAAGCCTTATTTCACTACACACTTATATGCTGTAACAATATTTCACTAAAGAAACAGTTAAATTTCTATACTCAAGTACAAATAATACTCCATGTGTCATATTCTGTATAGAGGAAGAATAGATACATGCAAAACTAGTGAAAACACAATAAGAATGAGCAATTGTTTATTGCGATACAATCGAAGCCTTTATTATGACATCGTCACAATAAAGGCTTCGATTTTTAATCATATTTTTAATTTATTTCATTTCAAATATGTGTTCTCCACCTGAAATAAGTAGTGGCTTGGCCCCTTTACATCATACTTTTCCAGTAACAATAAAGTCATGCAGTCAGCAAAGACCTTTCGGGAAAAATTTTGAATTGAAATAACCTGACTTCCAGTTTGCTTCAAAGGTTCGTGTAGAGTTAATCGGGGCCTTCCCTCCCTTATCTTTCCAGATCTGATCTCGG